CCAACACATTTTAGTGAGGAGCTTTTGGGCAGGATTTTATTTTTATTTTATTTACTTTAAGACAGTTTTTCTTGGATGTCTGATGTCTGTCCACAACAGAAACATACCATAAGGAGAATCTGAAAATAATTAGGAGTTCTGGATTTTGTTTTTTTTCAGGAGACACATTTGTATCTCCTTTAGAATTGTCTCTTGAACATTGAACAAAGTTGCACATCCTGAGCTCTCAAGGCCCAAGCACGTATGATTGCTTAGGACTGGGACCACATAGATTGTTTCTTGTGAAGAACAACTCTTTTTGTGACAGATTTTTATCTTACAACAAAGAATGATTTTTAACCAGCCAGCCCAAAGGAGATGTTCCTTCCCTGTCATTTTCCATTCCATTCCCTGCTACATTTTACCACTTTATGGCTCTTCTTACTGCCATGTAGACCCCACATTTTTTAAGCATGAAGAATCAAAGCCATCAACATTTTTGCAGCAAAGCAGATGATAGTGCCTTGTAGGTCAACTGCAGGTCCAGTCACACAAGCAGAGGATCAGCTAAGCTGCCAACTTTCAGTGCTCTTTCTTTTTCCCTATGCAGGTATAGCCCTGATGGCTCCAGGGTGAAAAAGTCACCCAGAGGAGGGTGAGATGGCTGTCAGGAAAGCTCAACACTCCTCGAAGATATTGGTGAGAAGTTGTTTTGGTAGTGTGAATGCACATGTGCAGGAGTAGGGGCTATTTGCCACCATACGGTGACCTTTCTTCCCTTGTTTGTCTCACATCTGTTCTGTTGTTGTCAACTTTGCCTCCTTTAAAAAAGAAAAGTCTTTTTGTGTGCTTATTAATACTATTAGCACTGGCTGTTTTCTAATTCTGGATAATAATTGAAGTGAAACTCTAATTACTGCAATTACGATGTTCCTAGGGTGAGGTTTCATTTTTTATAATTATTTCTCATAATTTTTTTTGTAAATACGTTGTTATTTTAAAAGCACGATAGACAATCATGAGTCCTAGCAGTGCATTTATATATCAACCACCTCCACTGAATTTCATCAGTGCATTTCACCATTTATTAATCAGATATTACTAAATTCCTCCTGCCTCAAGCAAAAACAAGGAGTGGGAGAGAATATGACTCCTGACAAACGACAAATGATGTGACGTGCCAAGTTTGATTCCCCCAGCCAAGTATCAGTACCAGTCTCAGAAGAGCAAAGATGGAATTGACAGCTAGATGGCACAACTGAATATTTTCTAAATCTTCCCAGTGATTTTTTTTTAAGGAGGAGAGAAAAGTTTCAATGCGTACCACCAGTGAAACATTTCAAGAAGAAACCAAGACTTTGGCCAGTACGTGAAGACTGTGATCCTGTCTGCATCACTTTCTACTGGAAGGGTCCAGCTATAAAAGAAGTCTCCTGGAATAAGCAAGATGTTCTCTTACGTCTCTTTTCTAACTGTACCTCTGCAAGCGGGACAAAAAGTTGCTGTCTTTTAGAGTAATCCACCATGTCATGCTAAGTCCTTCAGGAAAAGATATCTGAAAGTACACAACTACCTACAATTGCTCCTTACTAACAGGAACATGGAGGTCTCTGTATGAATATAATCCAAAATGCATGAATGTAATCCAATTTTTTTTTTTTTTTTAATAGCCTGTTGGCCTGTTGTCATGTTGATATATTTTTATGAGTCTTACTTAGTCTGTGGCTTGGGAAATGTTGATTGTTGCACTAAAATACAGGTATATTACAACACTAATTACTTGTCTTATCCTTTCTGCAGCCTTCATTGAGAGGGGAAAGTTGTTGACCACAGCCTGAAGAAGACACAGACTTTTTATCTTTGTCTTTCAAGGGCTGCCTGTTTTTTTCTTTTTTTTGTAAAAGTTCTTAAGTCAACGTAGACTTAACTAAAAAATACTTCATCAGCTGTTATCAAAGAACTGTTCATGCAACTCAGCAACGATTTTTTCCAAATGACTGTGAGACCTCATTTAGTTTTTTAATAAACAGTCACATTCTAATGAGGTCTTCATAAAACTGACTAAATATGTTTAGAAATCATTAGCTTAAATTACCAGTACAAAAGTCTCCTTAGGGAGCCCTGCAGATTTTGTGATAAGACTTCTGGCAGATGGATTGGTATAACAGCACAAGTGAGTTCTGAATTTCCACACAAGCAGTGTAAATGTGAGTGACTGGGTAATAGGCTACTGGATAAAGAGCTAAATGTCCCTCAGGTGGGTTCATTAAAGAGAGAAAACAATCAAAACACATTTCTGTGCCATTTAAATACCAGGTGCACAGCAGTCTGCAGGTGCCAGAAACACTGACAAGGGTCCCTTGCTGGAACACACAAGAGCTAAAAGGGATGCATGGTTTTGACAAGTATGCCTCAGATAATGACAGATATTGGCAGATGTACCCAGACCCTGCTGGAGGGTAATGCAGGGACTGAGTCATTTGTAGCAGGTGCTTGCATTAGGGACAGCCTCATGGTGATTCCTCCATTCGCAATTAAAACAGTCCTGATGCATAATGCTCCAGGGCAAGAAGCAAGTTCCTAGCACTGATTTAATGACTATCCAGCCAGTCCTGGTAAACAAATACACATACGCCCCCTCAATGATTAATTCATGATGGACATAAATTGTGTAGCAAACATGTTAAATAGATATTCTTCTTTTCCGAGAACATAAAGTTCTCCTTTATTTCAAATGGGTAAGAGGTTAAAAAATATGAAATAATAGGCCCCTATAAATCTTCTACCAGCTACTGCACCTGAAACAGAAAACCTCAAGGTCAGGAAGGTTACAAGGTTTGCCCTGTAGGAATGCTATCAAGAGGCCCATTTAAATCATTACTAATCAAGGTGGCACAGAGCTTGCGTTTGGGGCTGCGGGACAGATGGTGTGTTGCAATATGCCTCCTTGTTGCTGATGGTTCACGCCCTAGGAGTGGGACAGAAGCACCAATGGAGGAATGACTGCATTGCTCTGCAGCTCATAAAATCTCATATCCCTTAGAAAGTCATTTTAATTCTGCTCTCCTATCTCACCTACGTTGGCCTCCAGAGAAACTGAACAAAGTCATTTCCACCTTTGTCAGAGGCAAGAAAACTGCAGATATGTATCCCACTAGGACTCTTGCACCCTAAAGAAATCTCCACAGTGGCAGTTTCTCACTGGTAAAGAAATACACTGCCTAACCATACAGAGTGAGTAGAGGCCTCAACACTGACAGCAAGCCTGGCGTGTCCACAGGTGGTACCTGACAGCTCACACTAATTGATGCTTTCAAATGAGGATATCAGGAAAAGAGGATGTGGCACTGTGTAGTATGCTGGCTTTGTTCTAAGGCTTGTTCGTCCATCCCTTCCATCCATCTATCTCCTTTTTTAATGTGTGCTTTAGTACTTAAGAATGTCTATAAAGCTATAAAAAATTTGCTGGGATTTTAAGGCCCCTTCCGATCCAAACCATTACATGCTTTTATGATTCTTATTTGTACAAATTCATTTTGAACTTCTAAGTAGCCACCCAACTGTTTCTATCCTCCTCTTCACTCGAGGGACTGAACTTTCAAAGCAGCCTCCATGACGCTTTTTGTTTCTGCAATTAGCTGTACATTATGTTCCTGCAGCAGGTGTTAATTGTAGTCAGAAATCCTACCTTTTTTATAGCTAAAAATAATACTCGCACCTGATCCGTTGGCAGATTTGCACACAGGTATCTAAATGTTAGAATTTATATTAGCAAGTGACCAAGGACATAAAGAAGAATAAATTCAGTTTGTAAAACTGGACTTGTTAAAGAAGACAAGATCCAGCCCTTGGACTCATACTACATACAGGAGTATTCTTTCCTAGTAGAAACACCACAGAACAGATCAGTCATTCCACCAGAATGAAATTTAGAACATGTCTCAAAACTCTGTGGCTCACACCAACATACGTGCATTTATTTCAACACAACAATAATTCAACACTACAATAGTTGCAGTAGTTGCAATAAAAGCAGTGGCTTTTTTTTCATTTGAAATGAAAGCTTCAAAAGGAAAAAAAAAACAACCAACAAACAACAGAACATTCCAGATGAAAAGTAAGACACCACTATATAGACAGAGCAGTAAATTAAAACACTCAGTTATTGATAGTTGTGAAAAACAAATAAAATGTGTCTGTTCAATACTTGTTGAAAACAAAATTAGCCATAATCAGTTGAATTGGACACCTACTTTAGAAGTTGTCAAGCAAAGAAAGAAAAGTACGCATTATCAATCAGGTAACTCAAGCTTTCCTCAACTACTGAGCTCCTGAAGAAGAGCTCTTGGTCAATAGATCTGGTAGAAAAGAACAGAATAATTCAGTTGGAAGAGACCTTCAAACATCATTGGATCCAACAGCCAGAGCATTTCAGGGCCAACAAAAAGTTAAAACATGTTGTAGAGGGCATTGCCCAAATGTCTCTCAAACACAGAGTACCGTCTACAAATGAGTAAAGTCAATTTATTTTGTTTTAGTCCAGAAGGCTTACAAGAAGAAATGCCCGAACTGGATTGATTTGAACTAACATATTGTGAAGAAGGTGCAATTTCATAGTTTAGATACTTATCAGAAATCTGTTCCAGAATAACTTCCCTTCTCCTCCTTAAAAAAGAGAAAAAAGATGACTATATATCTTGTTCTGTAACTAATTCCCTGATTTCCCCTAATACAAAAAGTATGCACACAAAGATGTGACGCTTTCCCTCTTTGGCAGTCATTGCAAGCTGTGCTGTACAGAATACAACTTTATCAGTTACGTTCTTGTTGGGCTACTGTTATCAAAGCCAAGCATCCAAAGCATGCTTAAAAATAATTGGTAATGAATCTCTTAGCAGAGGCAGCCATAAATATTTTATGTGCTTTACTCAGTATATAAGCATCTTGTTGGTCTGCTATTTAATTTCCAAAAGCAAACACCTTGGAAGTCTTTCATCTTTTTAAGTGCAAAAATCACTTACCCTTCCCACTTCCACGAGATTAGTAACCATGATTATGCTGGCTGTGTTCTCATGCCATACCATTCTCCAAAAGTCATATATTGTCTCCTGCATCGGTCCTGAAACAATAAATCAAAGGAAAGGTTACTTTCTTTAAGCCTCATGATTAGAAGCTTGTCCCTGGGGTAGTTTGAGAAACCACGATTATCCACATGTATTCATATCACTATCATCATATTTTTCATTTAGGGTCAATTTCTTTTCTGTCATCCCACCTATCTGCATTTAAGTATTTTTCTTCTGAAATAGTGCTCTGAAAGAAAGTTAGTTCTCCAGCATCTACGTATTTATCTCTGTAATACCCAGAAGTAGAATTATAAAAAATGGATAACATTACTCTTTCTCTTAACAATTGGATGATAACCTAGGGAAGGTGTACCTTGAATGAAATGAGCCTCGGTGGACTATGTGGCCTTTCCCAGGTTCTAACATTTTTCTTAGTATCTACTATCCATCAAATTACCCCAGCTCCTAAATTGTACTTCTTGAAGTGAAACAGAAGTTATAGTTTCTTGCTGCAGTATATCACTTCGCAAAGCAGTGGGAAAAGCAGTAAAGAACCCTAGTGTGCAACAGCAGTGATGTCCTCTACTATACTTGTAGAGAAGAACAACTGAACAATTCTGAACGTTTTTGTAGATACAGGCCTTCCTCCAGTGTTGCACTGAGACTGAGTACCAGCCCACAGGAGCACAGGAAACGCCAGTGACAGAAACACAACATGTTCAGAAAAACTACATCACTCCACATATGCCTAGTACCATCTGTTTCTAGCCCATGTGTTTTCATGATGTTTTATGTGTCTACCTGACATTCAGTGTGCCATCGTGAATTGAAAACAGTGGTTTAAAAGCACTAGACCAATAAAAAGAAATGAAAAACACTATCAAGTACTACAAACTTAACATCCATATTGAATCCATTACTGAACTGCCTCACTGCAGTAGGCAATTAGCTTCCTATATAGAGGAATACCACAAAGCAATTCCTAGGAGGGCAAATAGGTAAGTTAGTGGCATATGTGTTCCTCCAGTGAAGAAAACATAAGTTTCAAAGCATCACAAAATCTTACACTGACAGATTTGGTTAGCTTGGCACCCAAGATTTGGTACTTTGCGCTCGCTCTGAAAATTCAGCTTTTATTCTCAAAGTCAAGAACTTAGCGAACAATGCAGTAATATTATAGGAAAGTAGAACCCAGCTGATCAGGCAATTAGCACGTCAGTCGTAATGTAACTTACTCAGAAGTCAAGTTAAAGAAAAACGATGATAATAGTTTTAAATACATGAATTTAAAAAAAAATATTTTGATTTTCGGCAATTTCAAAGCATATGATCATCTATAATTTGCACAGACAATTTAGAAATGTTCTGTGTTCTCCCCCTTACTTAATTTCTCTGCTTTTAGAAGTTCTATGTATATAGTTAGTTTCACTGTTTTCCCTAAAGTCAGCCAACTTGTCTTTTACTTGTTTTGGTAGTTCATGTAACAGGAGATAAAGGCAGTTAAAACAATAGCAAGCTATGACTGGCAGAACACAGGAAATGTCAGAAGGTCTCAGAATAGAAGAACTAACAGAATCTAAAACTGCAGTTTCTAAATGACCAAACTCATGCTGCTGTTGTGACTTCAAAACTGGGGACCTTGTCTTTTTAATTTACAGAACAGAAGAAATGATATTTTTCAGAGATTTCATTTGGAAATATGACAGATTTAAGTTTCTCTCCATCATGTAGGAATCTACAATACACACTGTACTTCCAGTCTGGATGTGTTTCTGGGCAGCCTGATCTGGTGGTTGGCAACCCTGCATATAGCAGGGAGGTTGAAATTAGATGATACTTATGGTCTTTTTCAACCCTGGCCATTCTATGATTCTATGATACTTCTCCATAAACGTCCTGGATACACACTATAGAAATACTCCAAGAAGAATTTTGGATGGTATAGCAAGATAATCAACAAACATTCCAGTGAATGTTTAACACACTTATGTTTTAATAATGTAGTTTTCTGGGCAATTAAAGTCACAATAGCATAAGAAAAATTTTGGACCAACCTCTCCTCCAGGTAAAGGGAAGGAGATGATTTCACTCACTCTAGGAAAATGCTGTCTCTGTATTACTCTTTCCTTCGTTTCAAATCTCAAACAAATATTTAGCAGAATTACTATTGTTATCAGCTTTGAAGGAATGTAACCAAAAACAGAAGAAGGGAGAGGCAATTTTCCACTGAGTAAAGGAGTCTGCAAGTTCGTAACACACTTCTAAGATTATTTTAGCTTGATTAAGGACAAATTATAACAACTCCGTTGCTTCAAGAATCCTGATCCACAGCCTGGTTTAATAAAGAAAATCTAAATGGTTCCACTGCATTGTGTTTCTGCAGGATTGCAATGTTTCAAGATTGTTCATTTGAGTATGTTTTTGGTAAAGCTATAAAAAGGGGAGAAAAAATCCTCTGCCTACACACCTATACAGCCCAGTTACTTTCCCCTTTTAAGCCAGAACCTTTGAGAAACAAAGGGACAATGTAAGAAGTTTCTCTGCTTGTTACTCCAGTTTCCTTTCCTACAGATTCACTTGAAATTGGAGACTGTTGGGCCCTATTTTGTCATTTCCTTCTGACAGCACTGGGAGAACTGGCAACAATTTACTCCTGTTTTTTTCTCCCAAAGTCAGCATAATTTGTCTTGTGATTAAAGATTCCTGTGCTTCAGATCCTGAAATTGCAAATCCCAACAGAAAAGCGATGCTAAACGCTGCTTTCTTCCTAAATATTTTGAGTTTGTCATTCTACATACAAGAGAAAAAAGATAACAGATTATGAGAAAACAAAATCTTTAAAAAAAGACACAGCACTTTTCAGGCCAGAGAATGAGCAAGTTTTTGTTCCGTCTTACAGAATGTCCTGTTTTGCAGTGTTGAGTATGCTCTTTCTGACCTTGCTATCTGAATGATAAAACAATGAAAATTAAAAGTGCTTGACAGGACTTCATACTTCCCTGCAAGTTTTTTCAAGTGTTTTCTCACCTTTCCCCTCCAATTCTTTTATCCAGCCTTCAAACTTCTTTCACATTCAGGACATTGAAAGGAAAAAAAAAAAAAAACAACAACCCAAAAACCTACTTTAGAGTCTCAGAATGTAATTTTTTTCTATCCCATTTTTCTTTTCTTCTTGGCATTTTTCAAATTATTTTCTGACATACGAATAAATTATTACTTGTCTCCAGCCAGTATTGAAAAGCATTGGAGGCTATGTAGGGTTGGAGGATTTATTGTCATGAAGAACTGAACAGTTTGATTCTGGAGACTCATAGTAGGGAGAGAAAGAGCCTATAATTGTTCTAAGCATCAACTTAACAGATGTGTGCACAATAGGCAGGAAGGTTGTTCTCAGCAGTTGCCCTCTTGTGGGAGGGAAAGGTCTGAGGAGAAGGCACTGCACTGCCTAACAGTAAGCCTGTGGTATACCCCATTAGTTACACAATATAGTAGTTGGTATCAAAAATTGCTGCTGTGAAAAAAGAAATCAACAACATACTGCCAAAGATGAAAAGCAAAGGAAAATAAGAAAAAGAAATCAGCCTCCCAAACCCCCAGGTAATTAAATGCATTATTGAAAAAAACAACCCTCAAAAGTAATGATCAGCAGAATATATCACAACCTTTAGTTGTAATACTAGTAGTTGTTAAGTTGCTGCTTTGGGAATGCCAGCATGTTAGGAAATGGAAAATCACATAGCTTCTAAGAATGGATTAAACTCTTAAAAAGCTGCTTCTGCCCACAGAGCTTTCTGGAGCCTCTTCCACTTCGTGTTCACTTCTAACAACTGGTATTGCTATTGGTGTTTGATCATTTTAAATACTATGAACCAGCCTAGGATACTGAAAAATAGTGAAAACCTGTAGGAAAAAGACAGCAGAAACATAAAGAAAGAAGTAAAACCTGAATCCTGAAATGTTCTCAGCACTTAATCGGACTAGGGCTTGTAAACATATGGGTAATTTTTCATTTTCTAGAAAAGCAAACAGTTTAGCAAACAAATAGCTTCCAAAACCTTCTTCTAGCACAGAATGTCCAATCTACAACATAATGCTTGGTCCACTTGAGACCAAACTGAATGACAGTGACATGGTTTAGTGGGCATGGTGGTGAGGGGTCAACACTTGGACTAGATGATCTTAATGGTCTTTTCCAACCTTAATGATTCTGTGATAGCTATCGTGGCTAGAAGTTTGCCAAAAACGGACAGATTCCTTCAATTTCCACAGGCTCTCCAGCACTGGGCAGAGGTAGCCACATGTGCTCATAGAGGAAATGGAGCACATAGAGCACATGCTCATAGAGGAAGTGGACTCTGAATGCATGACTCATGTCTGCAACAGCAGACATCTACCTGATCTTCAGAAGAGTTTAATAAACCTACATGGGTACATAGTGATAGGACACTTTTTTTAAACTAAAAGAAAGGATATTTAGAGTAAACACTGGGGGAAATTTTTCACAGATAAGGTGATGAGGTGCTGGCACAGGCTGCCAAGAGAAGTTTCGGATGCCCTATCCCCGAAGGTGTTAAAGGCAAGTTGGACGGGGCTTTAGGCAAATTAATCTAACACCTGATTTAGGATCTGGCAACCCTGCCCACAGCAGGGGCATGATTTTTGAGGCCCTTTCTAACCCAAGCTATTCTATGATTCTATGAAACCTATTTCCAGTGAGTATCAGCTCCCATCCCATGTGAGTATGTGGTTGTAGAATGGTCCACTCACTTAGAGGTTACAGCAAGTTACAGCTGCAATGAGAACAGTCATCACATGTTACTGAAGTCAGACTTGCTCCTTGCCACTGTGATGACCTACAGACTTGGCACTCAAGGACAACAGGCTGATGTGCCTATAGAGAGAGAGCTGCATGTTAGCTCTCAATCCTCATAGTCCCTTCAAAATGAACTTGAAGTGCAGTGAAATTTTTCTTATTAACAAATCTTTTTGTGTGGCAAAAATAAGAAAAGCCACAAAGGAATGATTAAACTTGCAAATACATTGCTAAAAAATC